GGACTTGTAAGTCTATTTCTTTCACCAGGTGGGGGAAGTTTTCTGTCATTGTTTCTTCAAATAAGGTTTTAGTATCTTGCTCTCTTTTTCTGGGACCCCCATAATTCTTATGTTGGTATGCTTGAATTGTCCCGAAGCTCCTTACACTATCTTCAATTTTTTGGATTCTTTTTTTCTTTTTGCTTTGCTGGTTTGGTGGTTTTTTAATTTTATTTATTTAAAAAAAATTTTTTTTTTTTTTGCTTCTTTGTATTTTAAATCTTTGACTTGATTCTTGTGGTCCTCTAGTCTGCTGTTAGGTTTCTGTATAATATTTTTTTATTTCAGTCAGTGTATGTTTAATTTCTAGTTGGTCCTTTTTCATATCCTTGAGGGTCTTGTTAAATTTATTGGCCTTTTCTAGGAAATTCTTGAAAAACCTTAAAACTGTGGTTTTGAATTCTATATCCAGTCTTTTGCTTTCCTCCATTTCTTTTATTTGTGATCTATTTCTTTGTCTCTGCATTTTCACTGCTAACCTGAGTTGGTAGAGTAGTTTTGTGTGGTAGGTTTCCTATAGGGTACAGTGGCTCAGCCTCCCCAGTTACCTGAGGTGGACACTCTTGGTGCACTCCTTTGTGGACTGTGTGCTTAGCTTTGTTGTAGTTAAGCCTTGATTGTTGTTGGTGTCACTGGAAGGAATTTGCCTCCAGGCCAATTGGCTGTGAGAATCAACTGTGTCTATGCTGGGAGAACTTCTGTGCTCTAGACACTCTTATGAGACAAGACTTGTAAAATTGCAAAAGCAATTTATCGAGTGATAAACCCACAACAACATTTTATAGAATTTAATAATTTTGTTACATGGGAAATAGCTAAAGGGTGGGCCAAGCAGTTAACAGGTAAGCAGACTGGAGATTTGCAAAGGCCTGCAGGTAAGCATAAAGGGCTGGCAATTCTGGTTTCTGCAGCAAACTTAATCTTTGCATGGTAATAGGCAGCTCCAAATAGGGAGAGTGACCTGCATTTCCAGGTGCCTGAATGCAACTGCCAGCCAAGTTAGCTGGCTCCCAACATTCTATTTCTGCCCCTTACATTCACTTCAGAATACAGCCTTTACTTTATATATTGGTGAACTAAATGCTTTAAAAATTATCAATTTTTGAACAGTATTAGAAACATTTCCATGTGTGTCTATAAAATAGAAATAGCTTGAATGTAAATATCCTTTTTCTCTTGCTTACTCTAAAAGAAAAGCAATTATTAATCATCTATCACCTTTTGAAAATGGAAAACTCAAGATATTCAAATTAAAAAAATACAAATATAAAAAATAGCCTTTTAATAATAGCATCTCAATTAGAAATGGAAATTAAAATAAAATTTATAGTACAAAAAATTATAAATTACCCAAGAATTAATTAAACAAGAAAGGTGGGACACTTATCTGAGGAAAACTATATAATTTTACTGGTAGATATATAAAAAAATCAGAACACAGAGACATAGATATTTCTGGACAGGATGATTTAATGTAATAAAGCTGTCAGTGTTTCCCAAAATTATATATAAATTTTATGCAATTTCAAACAAAATCCCAATGAAGTATTCATTGGTGATCTTGAAAAGTTTCTATTTTTATTTGAAGGGAAAAATATGTTATAATTACCAAGAAATTGCTGAAAAAGAACAATAGTGAGGGTGGACTTCACAGATACCAAAATATGTTATAATGTTGCAGAAGACCAAAGAAAAACCAAGCAAAGCTTTTAGAGAAAAGAGAGTAACATTTATTTTCACCAGCGACTCAGAGGAATAACTTCCAAAATTTGAGTAAAGTACATGCAGGGGGCTTCTCTTTTACATCTTCCTGGGGTCTTGGTCTCCCAAATACGGATTATGCTTCCGGTCCTTTTTGCAGGCCGTCAGGTGTTGGGGGTCTCTAGGCCATATCTGATAGTCTGGCCTGGAGCCAGGGCAGTGCACTGTTTACAGTTTTATGGCCTCTATATTTAGATAACAGTTTATGGGAAAGAGGCAGTGACTTAATTATAGGTTATTAAGAATGTACACTGGGTTTGCTGGTACAGCCCTCAAATATCAGGGTTACATTGGAATTAGTCCTTTTAGCCCTCTCAATAAAGCAACACTAATTAATAGTTTTAGTAGAGGAATAAACAAAAAAGATCAGAGGAATAAAAAAGAATCCAGAAATACATTCATGTACACATGAGAGTTAAGTGTAAAACAAATGGGCATTTAAAATCAGGGAGGAAAGGATGGCTCCTTGAGTAAACTTCACAGGGGCAACCTGATTTCCACTAAAAATACAAAATTATGATCATACTCATAGCAAATGTTTTCAGATGAATTAAAAATTTAAATGTAAAAACAAAACAACTAGAACTGATTAGAATAATAAATAAAGGTAATTTATATAATTTTAGGATAGGATAAAAGAAGTCAGAATGTCTAAAGGAAAATACTGACATATTCAACTATATGGTATTTCATTTTATATGTTTTTATTAGCTGGACTTCATGTGCGTTAATCATACGCCTCAGTTTATGTACTGATATTAATAGCTATGTGAGGCTTTTCTTGTTTTTTTATATGTACATATGTAATTATGTATTGTCACTTATCTATTTTTTTTTCACTTTCCTACATATGTAACCATCCATTCTAATACTTTAAAATGCACATTCTTTTGTTGATGTTGCTCTAAAATGGGTTATGTGGTTCAGAAAGCATGTTGCTGATAATTTAAATTATATTATAGATCTTATTCCTTTTTTTAATTTTAGAGTTTCTATATATTTTTATGACTTAAAACTTTAAATTATAGTTGACATACAGTATTTTATTGGTTTTATTCCATTTCTTATTTTTTTTTCATCACCATGATTTAAAAGGATCCATATTGCTATGTCTACAGTTAGCCTATTGCTTCTCCTGGCTGCATAATACTCCATGGTGTGCATTTACTATAATTACTCATCCTCTCCTCTGCCATGGATACCCAGATTGCTTCTAACACTCAGCCTAATGATTGCAATCTTATGGATATAGAATAGAGGGGTATTTATTTGGTATATATCCTCAGATATAGACTATCTGGACCAGAGGGCTACACAGGTTTAATCTGGACAAGAACCAGATTGCTCTCCAGAATGACAATACTGGGAGAATGCACTTCCATCAGCAGTTCATTAGGCTAATACCCCCTAAATTTTCTAATTTGACAGGTGTAAAGGTATGTCATTTTTTTGTTTTTTAATTTATATTTAAAGTGACTTTATTATAGATTGCATATAGTAGGGTTCTTTATTTGTATCTAGTCTGACATACCTAAAACCAATTCCAGCATGTAAAGAGTTCCATCAAAAGGTTGTTGGGACTTGGGTGAGCCACATATGTAGTTTACCTGTTGGAAATGGCTAAATGGCACTTCCCTAAGACCTGAATGGGATTTTCTGCTGCCAGACAGCTAAGGGGATTTAAAAAAAAAAAAAAAAAAAAAAAAAAAAAAAATATATATATATATATATATATATATATATATATATATATATATATATATTATTGATTTTTTACAGAGAGGAAGAGAGAGTGATAGAGAGTTAAAAACATCAATGAGAGAGAATCATAAATCAGCTGCCTCTTGCACACTCCCTACTGGGGATGTGCCCACAACCAAGGTACATGCCCTTGACCGGAAATGAACCCGGGACCCTTTAGTCCTCAGGCCGACGCTCTATCCACTGAGCCAAACCGGAGGGCATTTTATTGCCTCCTGTTAGCCAAACACCTGAACATCGTAGGCTATTCCCCAAACTGATAGTGCTTCTGTACCCTTTGAAACCTTACCCTTTTAAGTATATATCTCTACCTTGCCTTAGAACTGTGTTAATACAAGCAGGGTCCTGAGACAAGGAAGGAGTCTTTTAGCTTCTTTTGCTGAAGATCCTCTGACCTCCAATGCCTTTCAAAATTATCTTTCATCTTTGGACTCCTTCTTAATCATCTACATGTAGCCCTTTTCTTTTTTTAATCTTGTCTTTTGTGTGGTTCTTAAGTTACTCCAGGCTGTGATCTGTTTCTCAATCCAATTTCAGTATTGTGTTACCTACCCCTTCCAGAATAATAATTCACTTTGATTAGAAAGAAGTGGTTTCTTGAATTGGTCATACAAAATAGTCACAGGGATGTGAAGTATAGCACAGGGACTATAGACCACAATATTGCAATAACTATATATGGTGCCAGGTGGGTACTAGACTTACTGGAGAAATTACTTTGTAAATTAAATGTGTCTAACCACCATGTCTATACACCTGAAACCAATACAAAATAATATTGAATGTCAACTGTAATTGAAAAATTTCAAAAAGAAATTAAAAAAAGAAAGAAGTAGTTTCAGCCAGAACAAACATGGCTCTTGGCAGCCTCAGAGGACTGTGTGTGTGTGTGTGTGTAGGAGGGAATAGCCCTGGTGAAATGTGAGGTCATTAAAATGTCTATTTGTTTTTCTTCAATTTTTTTTTCTGCTTTAATTTTGGTGTTTTTCTTCAATTTTTTGAAAAAAGTTTGTAGCATGTCTAAAGTTGCTATTGTGTTTTCAGCAATTAGGGGTGAAATAGGCAGGTTGAGGGAATTTTTAAAATTAAGGAGTCTATGGAAAAAACACAGGGCTACAGAATTGCAAAAGGGTACATTTCCATAAGAGAAGGAAATTGGGTAAAATGAATAAAAAATGATGGAGACAAACAACCACCAAATCATTATGGCTTTGCTGACAATTTAATTATTTAATTCCAAACTATTATTTCAATAGATGTAAACTTTTTCCCCCCTTCAACATAGCTAAGTCAAAGTCACTTCTCTCATACAGAAGTTAAGCCCATCACCACTTCATCTGAGGATAGTAAAACCCCTTTCACTTCCACATACGGGGGAAGCAACCAGCCAATGGTAGTGGTACACACACAGGGAAAAATAAGTGCAGAGCTCTCTGAAGTCAGTATTCTTCATGGAATGGATATTCGGGATGATCAGACCACCTGCCAAAACAAGGGAAAACCTTTCATTCCAAAGTCGCACAGCTGTATGTGTTACTAGCATCTTCTGACAATTTCACTGACCACTCCCTCTCTCTGAATCATTCCTTAGGTTTCTTACCCACCTCCTCCCATTTTCCATTAAGCCAGCACTTTTACTAGAACCCTGGATAGCACTTGGGTTTCAGTGTGTGTTTGGGCATGGAGAGGGCTGGCTGCCTCTACACCAACATTTTGCTCAGAACAAAAACACAGGAGGTGAGGGAAGCTTGCCTCTTTCCAACTCCTCCCTCCCTCCTGCTGTCCTGATAGAGGCTGCCTCCTGTGTCAATAAGCGACATAGGACTTCTCTTCACAGCTGTGTCACCAGTTAAGGTCACCCTCTTCTCTGAACAGTGTTTCCTCGCCCTTCCAATTAGGCCTCCTGAGAGTTGATAGTTTGGGATCTAGAAGATGATGACCAGCAAAGAAAGTTTCTGCTATAATGATGATAGTGATGATGATGAACCTACCTCTTAAATAGCAATGGTGTAAAAGGATTGGAGTGTATGTGTGTGTGTATGTGTGTGTGTGTGTGGTGCCTGTGATGGAGCACATTTAAGACTCAGTTCTCTACAACTATACATGTAGCCCATGTATATTTTAATTGAGCTTTCAATTAAAATATACATGGACACAGACAATAGGGTGGTGAAGGCCTGGGGCAGGAGTCAGGGCAGGCTGGAAGGAATTAATGAGGGATAAAAGGGATATATGTAACATAAAAGATTTAATTTAAAAAATTAAAATATAAATTAAAATAAAATACAAATTAAATTAAAACAGGAAAATCCTGTGAAATCCAGTTAATAATAAGTTGGATGAAAAATAAAAAAAAGAATCATGGTCCAAAGGCCTAAATAATACGTTTTTTGACCCATGGGGCCTAATATTTGTTTCTCTTGATGATTTTTCTATTTGTGGTATGATGAGTTATTTTTTTCATTGTTTCTAGTATTAGGTATTAAACATGTGAAATGTCAAATAATGTTACCAACTAACTATAAAAATAATCAGTACATTGGTGACTGACTACATCCTACTATCTCTTCCTAATTTAATGATATTCATTTAATAAAAACCATTTATCTTCAGGAGCTATTAATTATATGTTTTTTATTTCCAAGTTTATTCTTTTATTTTAAAAAAATATATATTTCATTGATTTTTTACAGAGAGGAAGAGAGGGGGATAGAGAGTTAGAAACTTCGATGAGAGAGAAACATCTATCAGCTGCCTCCTGCATACCCTCACTGGGCACATGCCCCTGACCGGAATCGAACCTGGGACTCTTCAGTCTGCAGGGCGATGCTCTATCCACTGAACCAAACTGGTTTCGGCTATTTTTTCATTCATGTGGTTAGATGTCAAAAATATTTTCCCTAGAAAATTCACATTAGGAAGCTATTTTATTCATTCAGAAATGGATTCAGAAAAAAATGGTATTAATATAGTCACAGTAGTTTTGGATTCTTGAAATATTTTGGGTCCAAAGTATCCAAATTATATGAATTATTTTTATGAGCATTTATATTGCTCACTTAAAGCGAAGATTGTAAAAAGATGATGACTATTCAGGTGATCTGAAGGACTGGAAATATTAATAAAGAATGATTAAGAGGAAAAATTGTGTGTATGTATATACATTACATGTGTATGTATTAACTATTTTAAAGGACCTATAATATTTAGAGAATAAAGGGCTACCTTATTAAATAACAGAATCTGGCAACATTTTGAAGGAGTGTTAGGAATTTTACTTGTCGATGGATAGAGCTAGAATGGTGGAGCTAGAAGCTTCAAGTCTTATAGGTGAGCATTCATCTAAAACTAATTTCTTGAGGTGAAGGGATTAGTCAAAGAACATATATACATAGTCCATGGATATAGACAACAGTGTGGTGATGGTCAGAGCTGGGGGTGTGGGAGGCTGTCTGGGGTTGGGTGGAAGTGGGTAAAGGGGGGAATGGGTACATCTATAATAGTGTCAACAATAAATAAAATAAAATAAAATAAAATAAAATAAAATAAATAAAATAAAACTAGATTCTTGGCTAATAGTGTCAACAATCTACACTAAAAAAGAGAAAGAAGCAAACTGACCATATCTCTGTGACACCCACAAGCCAATCAGGAGTGAGTATGCAAATTAACCCCAAAATATGGTGTATTAATTTGCATATACAAGCAACAAGCAGGTGGGGGTGGGATGGTGCCAAGCAGCCTGGATCCCAGATGGGTGCCAGGCACTGCCTTGGGGTCCCAGGTCCATTGCTGCAGAGCGAGAGCAGAGTGGACAGCTTAGAGAACTTTGCAGAATAGAAGGCTGCCAGAAGGAAAGCAGAGCGAGAGAGCTTGGAATTAATTCACAGAAGAAAAAAAAAGATCATAGAAAAGAAATAGGTGCGACCTATTTAGATTAAAGTAATCAGGTACACCTTCTCCGTGATGGTGATGGTAACATGTGAGATAGAACAGAGTGTGAAACTGCCTGGGTTCAGAGCAGTATGTGGCCTCCAAGGGTGTGAGGAGTCCAGTGAGTGAGAGCAGGCAGGGAGTGGGACATACGCAGGAAATTAGAAGAAAGATGGAGCAGAAGCTGGGTCAGGGCCTTTTATTGGTCCTGGGTGCAGGCCAAGGCAGAGGCGGTTAGGGGTGATCAGGCCAGCAGGGGAGCAGTTAGGGGTGATCAGGCCAGTAGGGGAGCAGTTAGGGGCAATCAGGCAGGCAGGCAGAGGTGGTTAGGGGCGATCAGGCAGGCAGGCAGGCAGGAAGGCAAGTGGTTGGAGCCAGTGGTCCTGGATTGCGAGAGGCAGTCAGACATCCCACGAAGGGTCCTGAATTGAAGAGGGTGCAGGCTGGGTTGAGGAGATCCCCTCTCCCCACCTGTGCATGAATTTCATGCACCGGGCCTCTAGTAAGTAAAATAAAATAAATAAAATAAAAAGTAAAATAAAATAAAAAATAAATAAAATAAAATAAAATAATAAAATAATAAAATAAAACTTGATGCTCTTTCTACTTAACTCCCATGTCTCTGTCCCAGGAAGTATTTTTTTTGTTGATGATTCATACATCACTTTGATTTTTAGGAAGAAATACATATGGTGTTTGAATAATTGTGGTGGAATTGGATTTATTTGAATTGTATTATTTGTACACTATGACTAAGTTCTTCTTAAGTTCTTTAGCCTGCCATGCCTTAACCTGTCATGGGATGTAATATAAATGCCAGAAATCTTCTTTTAAATAAAAATGTAGCTTTGCAGGGACTTCTAGAATGAATGTAATTTACCCAGATCGATTTAATATTCAGAATATGCTGCCCAGTGGCCTTTAGCTTTAAGCTTTCTGTGGACAGAGGTTCAGGTTCATAAAAGCTCCCTTGGTGATGCTTTTCAATCCAGTACCACTGGGTGCTACCTGATTAAGGGTCCCCCAGAACTCACATGTGGAGATCCACTAAGCGGAGATTTTTATTCAAGGTTTTGATGCTCTTCATTTCTTCCTTAGTGAGAGAAAAGTCAAAGATCTGAAATAACAGAAATGAAAGACAGACATTTAAAATGACAGAAAATGGGTCAATCTTGGGATCACAGAGTGGGACCAGCAATTGGAAACGTTCTAAGATTTATGAACATCTCTGAAAATGTCTAAGAGGAGTTGGACTAGCATTGGGGATCCTCCTAACGGAACTGGAACAGGAATTCTCTTCTGCACTTTGTCTTAAGATAATTCTGCTGGAGACATCTTACAAGAAATCCCAAATGCTGTGAAATAATGTATGTTCAGGACATCTGAAGACTTCTTATTTTTTCTGGATAAGATGCTGAACTTTTTAAAAATATATATATTTTATTGATTTTTTACAGAGAGGACGGGAGAAGGAGAGAGATTTAGAGAGAGAAATATCAATCAATTGCCTACTGTCCACCCCCCACTGGGGATGTGCCTGCAACCAAGGTACATGCCCTTGACCGGAATAAAACCTGGGAACGTTGAATCCACTGAGCCAAACTGGTTAGGGCAAGATGCTGAACTTTTGATTTTAGACTAGAGCTTGTGTGCACTTAAAAATATTCCATTATTTCTAAAAATATTCCATTATTTCTAAATTTGCTTTTGTACTTTCAAAAAACTTTTTTTTTTTTGGTTTGTTTTGTCCTTTTAATCACTTCTCTCATCATTTAAAAATATTTTTATTGCTGAAACTGGTTTGGCTCAGTGGATAGAGCAATGGTCTATGGACTGAAGGGTCCCAGGTTCAATTCTGGTCAAGGGCATGTATTGATTGTAGGCACATCCCTGGTAGGGGATGTGCAGGAGGCAGCTAGTTGATGTTTCTCTCTCATCGATGTTTCTAGCTCCCAATCCCTCTCCCTTCCTCTCTGTAAAAAAACAAAACAAACAAAACAAACAAACAAACAAAAAAAATATATTGAAAAAATATTTTTATTGATTTCAAAGAGAAAGGAAGGGGGAAGTAGAGAAATTCAATGATGAAAGAGACTTCTTGACTGGCTGCCTCCTGCATGCTCTATAGTGGTGATTGAGCCCGCAACCCAGGCATGTGCCCTGACCAGAATTAAATTGTGACCTTCTGATTCATAGGTTGATGCTTAATCAATGAGCCACACTGGTGGGGCTGAATAGTAAAATTTGAATCCATGAACATTTTTGTTTCAGATACCTCAACATTTGTAGTTTTTTTAAATCCTCATCCGAGGATATTGTTCCATTGAATTTTAGAGAGAGTGGAAAGGAGGGGGTGGGGGGAGAGAAAATAATTGATGTGAGAGAGACACATCGATTGGTTGCCTCCCGCATGTGCCCTGACCAGAGCCGTGAATCAAGCTCTTGACCAGAATTGAACCTGGGACCCTTCAGTTCCCAGGCTGACACTCTTTCCATTGAGCCAAACCAGCCAGGGGGAAACTTGTAGTTGTTATTTAAAATTTTTTTTT